GGTGACTGGGAATCTTCTCACTGTGAAACTCAAGAACTGGGTGGCTATTGAGCTTAATGTCAAGCCATTCATCAGAACAATATTATTCTATATTATTTTACATTCTGTGAAAGATTGCTCTGATAATGGCTCTTTATGTAACCTGAGAGTAACCAAATACAGTATTCATGAAGGCAAGGTTAGTGTATCATTGTATGATCAGAATGATATGAACTGTTATCTTCTTAATTATGTTGTTTTAAATGTGACAGAAAATGACGAATCCATCACAAAGAGCAGTCAAAGAGTTAGTTTTTCCGGATTTAAAATAAAATTCTACTCTGGTTTAAATTTAGATTTAACACAGTACAGCATTTTCGAAGATTTACAGTACAATACACAGTAAACTCCTTTTTTTCTGTATTTGTAGATACAGATGAATCAGACTCTGCAGGAAATGATTCCCAAGGTAAGTTGACATATATATAGGTACAGTATTCTGATAATCTACTGTACAAAGCCACTGTGAGTTGAAATAATTTGTAATCCTTCTGAGATTGCCTCTAAGGGTAAGATAATAAGGCCAAACTTCAATGTAGTCTATGGGTTCCAGCCCGATTTTAGATATTATAGGAATGAGCATAAATTGTGACATGAGTAAAAAAGTGCTAGACAGTTAGAGTGAAAAAGTAATGATGTTTCAGACCTCCATTTACTTGTCCTATGTTCTGTCTTAAACCATTGTACTAAAATCAGAGCTTGTGGGACAATTTTGTGTGGATACTGTATGTTCATTTGCTAAAAGCAGACTACTGTTATACTGTAGCTAGAAGCTAATGTGGATCTCAGTCATCTAGTATGTTAAATGGTGTTTCTTCCCTCAGAGCCTGAAGATAAAGATACTTCAGAGTCCGAAGAAAATTCAATTGGTAATGCTTTTTCTTTGATTCTAGTTTTTGATCATTGTGATTCAATTGTCCTTCATCCTTAAACATATTGAAGTCTTTGTTTCTTCAACGAAAATGGCCTACCCAATTTTCAGGATCTCATGAAAACTTACTTGATCCCTGGGTTTTCTTATTTCATTTCTTACATTCCACACAACTCTTAGTACAGTATAGCCTCTCACATGGTGAATAATTAAGTTCCTTCAATAGTCAATACAAGGGGCTCTGATCCCTTCTCTATATCACTTTTGTCTCTCATCTAAAACTATTCTCCTACTAATGATCTTTATATGGCACAAGTTGGGTGGCAGTTGTAATTGATGATTGGGATGTTTAGCACAGAAGTTAATCCATTTTTAAGAACATATGCAGTGCCAACTACTGTACATCTCCAAAATACATTTACTCAGGGTACACCTCATAGTTTGGACGTTCTCTGATGCAGTGTGCTTTTGGGTGGTTGTGACTTTTGTGCTGTCACTATGACTGTGCTTCAGAGCCCCTAAAAGCTCATTTCTAAAGATACTTCTCATCTTCAACTACGTCATCTGTTGTTCACAGGCTAACTGCTGCCAAAAAATCTAATTACCAGACATCTAAGATCAGACAGGATTTCAATACTGTGACATTTTAATAACTAAATGAATCTCGATTACTTGAATATAGAGGTGCATTGCTATTCTAGTTTGTATACTGTTTAAAAAATGTTATGTTTGAAAAAAGATAAGATTAATGCTTGGTAAGCTGGAGAAGAGAGAGTCTTTTATTTTCCACTGCTTACACCTCTCACAAAATGTATTTCACTGACATACTTTTCTGCCTTGACTAAAAACAACACATCTTTTGCAAAAACAGATAAATTAAATGAACTCAAAAATGTTGCAATGAAATCTATCGTTTAAGGCAGTATCCGTAGCATTTTGTGTAAATTCACTTTACTCTTTGTTCAAGAACAATGTCCCCCATCTAGGTCAAATGTATGGGTGAGATTTTAATCCTTAAAATGTCTAGGAGTTTATGTTCTCCCCAGATAAGCATGGTTTTCTTCTGGGGGCTCCAGTTTCCCCCCCGAATTCCAAATTCCATAATTGTAGGTAAATTGCCTTCTTTATAAAATTGGCCGTGGAGTGACTGAGTGAGTGTGTGTGTGTCTGTGTCTGTGTATCCCCTGTGATAGACTGGTGTCCCATCTAGTGTATATCCTGCCTTTGTCCTGCTGCTTTTTGGGTTAGTCTTTGGCTCCTGTGACCCTGTGCTGGATAAGTGGATCAGAAAATGGACAGGTGGTAAAATGTCTAGTTTATTCATGAAAGGGGTGTCTGATGGAACAAGTGCTCTAATATCCTGTTGGTTTGTATTACAGATGAGGCTCTGAAGTCTTTGAAGTCAGACGCCAGTGGTAAGCGAAGAGAACTTTTAATTATCATACAATTTTATTAAATTAATTGTGAAATGAATTGAGGTTGTTAGTCATACCTTATAAAGACTGAAAAGTACATCAGGGTGAAATGGATGACGACAGGGTGAAATGGATGACGACAACAAAATTAACTGAATGGCTGCAGTCACATGACACAATTCAAAATTTCTATGGGAGAAAGATTCTTTATTTCAATATCCTCAGTGAGCAGGTTATTAACTTTCTAATAATGTTTTATGAGGTCAAATAGATTTTAAAAATGTTATTTGTAACCCTTTAACTAAAATGATCCTCTAGGTATCAGTTTTATGATCCGTATTGAGCCCCGACTTCAAAATGTTCATCTGCATTTGACCAGTAACGTTGTGTCTGTGCAGCACTGCTCATAGAAGTTGAAGAAAGTTCAGGTGCAAGTGTGTTAGCTACAGTGAACCTTAATCCATCACACCAAGGTTTGAGTAAACATGTTTTCTAGTTCTCTACTGAAAACATTTAAATGCTGTAAATGTTTAAACAGCAGCGTTGAGGTTACACCTGTTGTGAAAATGCAATCTGACATCTTGAAGGTGATTAAGTAATTTGCAAATTAATTAACAGTTGAAGCAATATATTGTGTGTAATTCTATGTATTTTGAAAACTTAATATTTGCTCTCCAAAACCAGCCATTTATTCTGCTGGTATTAAGCTTAGCTATTTATGATCCCACAGATGTTACAGGGGATGAAGAAGATAATAACAGTAACAGTAATGATGGTGGTAATAAGGAGTAATAAAAATAAGTACATCTCTAAAAATTCTGAAGGTAAGATACTATACAGAATACTAAAGTACATATAACTTAACCTTAATGTGTGATGTACTGTATACAAATGTTTTTAGCTATTGTTTTATTGTAGGGTATAAAAGTATTTATAGTAGGTTCCAAAAAACTCAGAAAATGTCTCTTTTGGCATGACCTTTTATTTTCTGTAAATGCAGACAGCGACAGTACAAGCAGCCAAGATAAGGATAGTGAGTCCAGTGAGGACAAAGACAGTCACCACAGCCACGATAAAGACAGCGAGTCCAGTGAGGACAAGGACAAGGACAAGGACAAGGACAGTCACCACAGCCATGATAAAGACAGCGAGTCCAGTGAGGACAAGGACAGTCACCACAGCCACGATAAAGACAGCGAGCCCAGTGAGGACAAGGACAAGAACAGTCACCACAGCCATGATAAAGACAACGAGTCCAGTGAGGACAAGGACAGTCAACGCAGCCACGATAAAGACAGTGAGTCGAGTCAGGAGAAGGACAGTTCCAGCAGCCA